TTAACGACTAATTATCATTAAGTAACTAACTACCCACCGCAGCGTGTGTGTGTGTGTGTGTGTGTGTGTGTGTGTGTGTGTGTGTGTGTGTGTGTGTGTGTGTGTGTGTGTGTGTGTGTGTGTGTGTTATGTGGGTGCGTGCGTGCGTGTGCGTGTGGTTTCATATACGTGTGGGCGTGCGTGCGTGCGCGCGTGCGTGTATGTACATGTGTATGTGTGCACAATGGTACCGAGGAATTCTGGGAAGAGTGAGTCACCGGAAGCTGTAAACACCTACTGCCCATAGAGGGCGCAGCGATAGCTACAGACTAACTAAACGTACATCACAAAACACTTTATATATATATGTATGTATATATACTTTTTTCGATATCGGCAGCAATATCTGCACGGGCATATTAACAGTCGTGACGTCAGCGATTATTACGTCATCGACCCGTGACGTCTAACGTGGCGCGTATCCATGAGAAATGTCTCGTTGATCAATATCATCATCGCGTTATAGATTAGTAATAATAATAATTATCACCGCCGTCGTTGTCGCCAGCATCGCGGTTTTCTACATCAAATTATTATGTACATAGGAAAATAGCTTTTGCAATGCGCGGCATCTGCGCTCCACTGCCAGAATTCACGATTCATTTCCAGATAACAGTCGACGCTTCGGAAATAAACGGTGCGAAAAACTGATTTACTAAAATTTTGAAGAAACTCGTCTGCTCCGCACCGCGCGTCTCCATGGCAACGTGACGCTAACATGGCGCCGGACGCCGGTGGCCAGCAGGTGACGCGTCGAGCGTCATCTCTACGGCTGCCGAGGATCGGATCTGTTGTAAGGAGGGTGTTGTAGGTTTTGCTTGTTTGTTTTTACTGGTTACGTCCGCAGAGAGATGCAATCTTTTATAAAATAGTTCTTTTACTTATTTCGTGCGAACAATTCTTCCGTCGTGATGGCGTCATCGGCTGGAAAACAAAAACAAAAACAAAAATATAAACACTATTAATAACTGTTAAAGATGAAACAGGATGGCCTATATAACGGCTATGTCACGTGACTGTATGACGTGGTAGTATTACGTGGCTGTGCCGCCCTCTGTCTATCTTGCTTTTCCCTCTTCATTCCTCCTCTCTCTTTCTTGCTACCCCCTTCCCATTCCTCCTCTCTCTATCTTGCCCCTCTCCATTCCCCCTGTCTCTTTCTTGCTACCCCCTCCCAATAGCCCATGTCTCTATCTTGCCCCTCTCAATTTCCCCTGTCTCTATCTTGCTACCCCCTCTCCATTCCTTCTCTCTCTTTCTTGCTACCCTCTCTACATTCCCCCTGTCTCTATCTTGCTACCCCCTCCCCATAGCCCCTGTCTCTATCTTGCTACGGTACCCCCTCCCCATAGCCCCTGTCTCTATCTTGCTCAGGGGCTATGGGGAGGGGGTGGGGTAGCAAGATAGAGAAGCAGCAGCAGCAGCAGTAGTAGCAGTAGCAGCAGTAGCAGCAGCAGTAGCAGCAGTAGCAGCAGCAGCATACTAAACAGATGTAAATGCGGAGACGTTCTGACGTAATGACATAAAGTGTCGGCTAGACGTGCAGACGAGAGATTTTCGCGATGACGTAATCAATTCACAATCGGTGCATAGGCTATCACTCATTGTCATATTGTCGTTACAAATAAAAACCTCATTTGATTCAGCGGAGGAAACGGGAGGGGAGCAAGGAAGTGGGAGGGCAACGGGAAAGGGGAGGGCAAGAAAGAGACAGGGGGAATGGGGAGGGGGTAGCAAGATAGAGACAAGGGCTATGGGGAGGGAGTACCGTAGCAAGATAGAGACAGGGGCTATGGGGAGGGGGTACCGTAGCAAGATAGAGACAGGGGCTATGGGGACAGTAGTAGCAGCAGCAGTAGCAGTAGCAGCAGTAGCAGAGGTAGCAGCAGTAGCAGTAGTAGTAGCAGCAGTAGCAGAGGCAGTAGTAGCAGCAGTAGCAGCAGTAGCAGTAGCAGTAGTAGTAGCCAGTAGCAGCAGCAGTAGCAGTAGCAGCAGCAGCAGTAGCAGGAGTAGCAGGAGTAGCAGCAGTAGTAGTAGCAGCAACAGTAGCAGCAGTAGCAGTAGCAACAGTAGCAGCAGCAGTAGTAGCAGCAGTAGCAGCAGTAGCAGAGGTAGCAGCAGTAGCTGCTACTGCTGCTGCTACTACTACTACTGCTACCACTGCTGCTGCTGCTACTGCTGCTGCTGCTGCTGCTGCTACTGCTACCTATATTACTGCTACTACTGCTGCTGCTGCTACTGCTGTTGCTGCTGCTACTGCGGCTGCTACTACTGCTGCTACTACTGCTGCTGCTGCTGTTACTGCTACTGCTGCTGCTACTACTGCTGCTGCTACTGCTGCTACTGCTACTGCTACTGCTGACAATGATAATAATGTCGATGATGATTGTAGCGTCTTCCATGTGTGTTTTCTAACGCTCACTAACCGCTACTACTAAGCAATACGTTCGTTAATAACGAGTTATTAATACACTAGATGGCGCCAGCATCGTCTGTAGTTTCACTTACCGTTTGTGTCAATGAAACGTCGTACAATAATGGCCGCCAACTGTTCGCTTCCTGTTATTAGTTTCGCCAATAGATCAGCACTCATGACGGGCCTGAAACATACACGTCATCTATAAACAATAGAACATCTCACACACACACACACACACACACACACACACACACACACACACACAAACCCTGCCCTGCGCATATAGGCCTACACCCGCCCACTCACGCACGCTCTACGCTTCGTGCCTTGGATGATTTCGACTATTTTTTCTAGGTTAGCTTTCACTTCGACAGACAATTTCATGACCATCTCTCTATGAAAAATCAATTTGCATACGCGAGAACGTTGTTGGACATTTCCTCGTCGTTGCGAAACCAGCAACCGGAAGACATTTACGCTTGTATTCACCGCTATTTCGTTCGCTTTTCCGCGCATTTCATTTGCAGCACGATCAGCCCGCAGGGGCATACACGTAAGGAGAGAGTAATTTAGCGTTAGGGGGGGTTCGCTTGATGGTCGGTCTCCTGGTCTCAGGCGCTGGTTTGTTAACACGCGCCTACATGATATCTGCGAGTGACGTCATCACTCGTGAATCCCCACAGCTGGTGGTGTGTGTGTGCGCGTGCGTGAGGGAAGGTGTGTGTGTGTGTGTGTGTGTGTGTGTGTGTGTGTGTGTGTGTGTGTGTGTGTGTGTGTGTGTGTGTGTGTGTGTGTGTGTGTGTGTGTGTGTGTGCGTGGGTTAGGGTTAGGGTTACCGTTGGCCGCGGGGGAGAAACGCGAGCGAGTGCGCGTGAAGTGAAATAATTTAACGATAGCTGTAAGGCGAGATGAAAACGTTCGCACGTGAATAATGCATGCAGCGGTTAGCGACCTAACATTGTAACCAATACCCCCGGCATCCATCTGTTCGTCACTCTCTCCCTCCGCCGATCCCTCACTCACTCACTCACTCACTCACTCACGCACTCACCCGCACACGCACGAACGCACGCACGCACGCACGAACAAACGAATGAACACACGCGCTTTAATGACAGATTCTGGATATTATATTAAAATTTAAAATATTATAATAATAATATAATTATAATAATAATTAATAATTTAATTTAATAATAATAATAATAAAAATATATTATATTATAATTATTATATTAGCCCAAGCAAACACCAGGCTCCTGCCTCCCTCTTCCACACACCCATCCACTCCCACGCTCCTCTCTCTCTCTCCCACCACTCATCTTCTCTATTCTCTCGTCTATTTGACTTTCCATCGTCCGCTCCGCATCTTCACTGACCGACTGATCCTTGCTACGTCACGCCTACGTCACACGTCAACGCACGCATGCGCAAGCAACGGTCAATTTACGGCCACGAACCTGGCACAGTGCCAGGAGCTACATGGGGGTGGTGGTGGCTTGGTGGGCGAGGAGGCGGGAGACGGGTGGGCTGAATAGTGGAAACAACATAATATTATTAGTTGATGGGAAATGACTAGATTTACGCTGGCAGCCGCTTTTAACCTTTTTGACCTCGTCTATTCATAATACTGAGACCAGGAAAGAGGAAAAGATGGGGAAGAGAGAGGGTGGGAAAGAGACGTGGGAGGAGAGATAGAGAGCGAGAAAGAGAGAAAGCGAGAAAGAGAAAGAGAAAGAGAGAGAGAGACCGAGAGAGAAAGGGGGAGCGAGAAAGAAAGAGAAAGAGAGAGANAGGTACTGATTATATATATATATATATATATATTAATATATATATATATATATACATGATAATTAAAGAAATAAGAAATAAATATAAAAAAGAATGATAATAAAATAAATGATGTGAAACCCGGCGAACGTTCTTCGCGCTTGATTCGCCCTCCCGGTACCCGACTAACGAGGCTGCGTTGTGATTGGTTGCAGACACTGACGAGACAGGATCGGTTGCCTCGACGACCAGTGTATCGACGTACACAAGCGGCTGCAGCGCACTCTCCCGCATCGGTACGCACTGTTGCCTAGCAACCTAACGATGGAAACTAGCATACGTGTAGATAGCTGTTCAATTGTTGCCATGACTCTCTCCCTCTCTTTCTCTCTTTCTTCTCTCTCTCCCTTCCTCTCCGTCCCACCCTTCCACCCTCCCTCCCTCTCCCTCTCCCTCTCCCTCTCCCTCTCTTTCTCCTTCCCCCTCTCTCTCCCTCTTTCCTTCCCCCTCCCCACTCTCTCTCCCTCTGTCTCTGCCTCTCCCCAGCGCCCCCTGTACGCGGCGCGAGCTGACGCGCGGCGCCCCCTGTACGCGGTGCGAGCTGACGCGCGGCGCCCCCTGGTGTGTTGCAGGAGCGCAGGAACCCGTCGTCGTCACACACGTCAGCAGTCCGGACGAATTCTACATTCAGCGGATTGCCGACCAGGGGGCGCTAGGGAGGCTTGCCTGTAAGATCAACCGATGGTGCGAGAGCGAGAAATCGCTGCCCTACCGCCCGACGTCAATCGACAAGGGTAGGTGGCGCCCCCTGCCGGACGCACGGTGTCGCGTGCGCGCCGCTATTCGATGTGCGTTGTCACGTTCGCTGTTAGGCTGAAATCGCTTACTTGAGCTTCTTTGCTGTTCGTTGCTAAGTAGCGTTTTTTTATGTATATATATATATATATATATATATATATATATATAGAGAGAGAGAGAGTAGT